GCCCACGGATTCCAGAGCTGCCCTCTTAAGTCTTGACACAACAACAAATTTAATTGTTAACGACAATCATCTCCCAGCTGTGGGCTTCAGGAAGATGCCGAACAGAAAGGAAAGTGACTTGATGTAGGCGATGTCATCTGGTCCCTCCCACCCCTCTAAGAGGGCCCTGGAGGAGATAAAGCCTAGCACTTCCTTGACCTTTGCCAACCGGAGTGCGGACAACAGTCAGAAGGCAGGTTTCACTCAACAGGCCTTGTCAGGAGCCACAGCTTCGTCTGAGAACCCAGGCTTTGGGCCATGTGGGTGGAGAGATCTGGACTACCAGCGCCGTGCCTGGCCCCCATCCCCTGGGTGCCTGGAGATTCCACTCAAGGAAAACAAATACTAAGTGTGGGGGAAGTTCTTTGCTGCCTTTGAAAAACAAAATGCCAGCAGCTCAGCCCTGGATCCCAGGAAGGCTTCAATCGCATTCCAGGACTTGCAAGCAGCTCCAGGATGGAATTTGTGGAGGAATGTTTGTTCCTTTCCCCTTGCTTAAAGGATCTGAAGAGTGATTAAAAACAAAAGACCATGAGGTTTCAAAAGTACATCAACAGCATCCCTCTAAAAACACACCCAAGCCCAAGATGAAGGCTTGAGCGACAAGATACTGTACTGATTAATTATTAAGAACACATTTTGTGCGGTTTGACAGATATGCCAGGGCAATCTGCTTCATAGTGATTAAACCTCAATAAATGTGGTTCTAATAATGAGCTGGTATTGAATTATCAGACAATGGCAGCCTTAGTAAATCTTAATTAGTTTTGTCTTTTGAGTCCTTCATTTAAAATTCTGAGTAATACAAATGTCGGTCTGAGGAGTGAGGGAGGCATGGCCGCCATCCCCAGGGTGCCGCCCTTGGCCCACGACCCCCCAGCCCCACAGACACAGAGTTCACCAGCCTGCAGGATTATGGGGAGGGACCAAGAGTGGAATTGGGGGGAGGGGGCAGGGCAAAGCTCTTCTGGGAAGTTTGCTTTCCAACAAACAGAGCCAGCCCTTCTTCAAACACCTCTGAGGAAGGAAAGCCTCATTAGGCCCAACAGCTAGACTTTTGGGTGAAAACAATTATTTCTGAAACGTGGAGCTCTAGGAGAGGAAGAAAAAAAAAAAACTACAAAATCAGGAGACAGGGAGGGCGGAGGGCTAGGAGGGGAAGGGCTCCTGTGAGCTCCAAGCTAGGAGAGCTGGAAAAATGGGCAGATGGATGACCAGGTGATGCGCCAGCCACCAGGTCCAACTGGAGGCCTTTCAGGGTAAACAAACTGACCAGGGCACACAGCTTTGCTTCAAAAGGCCCACAATTACTCGTTTTATTGCTCGGAGTTACAAGATGATGGTATCTCAAAAGAAGGTGACAGCAAGTTAACAGATCAGTCCCTGAGGGTGCCTGGCCCAGACGGAGAGACTCCCTTCTCCAAACAGAGATGCAGGCACAATTAGGCGCTTTCCAAAGGAGCCGTTTCTTTGCTCCGGGAGCCCCATGGAAGTCCAGTCAAGGCACTCTCCACCTCCGCGCACATTTTGTTACTCGTTAACTCCTAATTTGGGAAGGGGGGGAAATGGGTGTCTCTTTCAAGAATTTCTCCCTCCGGAGATGGCATCTCTGAGTAGCAGCATTTGGCAGTAAAACACAACAAATGTCAGAGCAGAGTTGCTGCAGGGCTTGGGGATTTACGACCGGGTTCCGGAATGCTGTTAAAGCCGTGGCCAGAAACTCCGATTCCATATTGGGACGGATTTGTATAATTAGGCAAAGTAAATGAGTCCTGTCCCGGGAGGCAAGAGGCCTGGGTCCTATCTCCACCATTAACTTGGGTGACCTTGGCGAGTTCCTTCTCCTCCCTGGGCCCCTTGTCACTATCTAAAATGAGAGTGTGGGGTTTGTGATGCCTGAGGATAGTTTCAGCTCCAAAAGTCTAGGATCCTAAGATCCTAAAACTCAGCAGACATTTCCCCAATAGACACACACACTCCAAAATCAATGGGACCTGGAAGTCTGGTGGTGAGGGACCATCATCAGAGTGGACGAATTACAGGATGCCGGACATGATTGTGACAGAGTGGTCCTGCTTTCAATCTCACGGCCTTTAGCCACCGTCAAGAACTCATCCTTTCACACTGGGAGCTTTCCTCAGCGTGGAAGAAGGAAAAGGACCACCATCCATCCTCAGAGTGGCTTGGGCCTCCTCACTACTTCCCAACCAAGGCAAAGATCATTTTCAAAGGTCACTCAACTGTTCTTTGGAGGAAAAGTTCCGGGACCCTTTCTGTCTGGTCTTCTCTACCCTGAATGTGACGCTCAGGTTCCAGCTGTGAGCGGCGTATCTTGCTGGCTCTGGCAGAGGCCGTAAGTCCTGCTACTCTGCCTCAGCTCAGAGTAGGGCGGGACCAGCGGCCCTCTGGCCCCAAGCAGCCGTGTTTACGTGGTACTGCCTCCCAAGGGCCCTTGCACTGGGCATCTGCTCTGGAAGCTGCCCCAGAACCAGAGAAATAACTGTACCTCCACTCAAATTCGAAAATGCTGAACTGACTCTGACAAGAAGTGGCATTTTTTTCACAGATAGACGATTCCATGTTTGCCACTGACACCCCTTTCTTCTTCCCTGTAACAGTTCCTGTTAGCTGAGAATCACTACACAAACACAACACAAACACAAACAACCTTCCCTCTTCCCTGGAGCATTTCACGGCTGCACTTTTTTATTATTATTATTATTATTGAATATCTGTCCCCCACGGCAGCAGGAAGCATGTCTGTCTTCATCCATGTCCTCTCCTCTTTCCCCAGCTCAGTTCCAGGTACATAACGGGGCTTAAAGACTAGTGTTGGCTGAATCATCAAGTTCCAGGAACCAGGCTATTGGTGCTAAAGATGCTCGCAGAAGCTGCAGTGAGAATGGAGAAGTCAAGGCAAGTGCAGAGGGCGTGGAGTTGGGCTTTAGAAGCCGGCAGCGTTTGGAGAGGCAGAGGAGGGCCGCAGGTCCCCCACGGTTACGTCCCCCCAGGCCTCTCTTAGGAGGACTCCCCTAGAAGTGGCCTTGCTGGGGGAGCAGTCAGCAGGAAGACGCCACCTACAGGTGAGTGTGGAGAACGCACTGGAACAGAGCCGCTCTAACTTCAAAAAAGTTGAGTCCTGCCTCCAAGGGAAATAGAGCCCACTGACCCATTTGTTTGGAACTCTGGTTTCCGATTTCCACTAACATCTTCCACGCACATCCCATTGTATCTCTCCTGGCCACCTGAGCTCACTCTTTACTGAGCAGCCTTTTTCCCCCAAACCTCCAAGTAAAACTTGCAATTCTTGCCAAATGTTTGCTCCATCAAGCAATATTTAGCAACATGAGTGCCACAAATGGATCACGAACAGATCAAATATCATACGTTTGGTTTCAAATCCTGGAAATATTTTTCAAATCATGTCTTTTTTTTTTTTTTTTCCTTTTCAGACACATCATCAACCTCCTGACAATTTTGGCCAGGCCTGCCAGCAGGCAGCCAGCCACTACCCCACCCTGGCAAGAAGCTGGGCAAAGAGTGGCTGGGGGCAGGTGGCAGCTGGTGGAGGCCACTACGGGCCCCCAGATGACATGGAACCTGGCTGTATAGTGCCTCAAGGGAGTGATGTGTGTGTATGTGTGTGTGGTCGTGTTGGGTCCTGCAGGAGAGGAACATTATGGGTACACGGGGGCCCATGTGTGGTGTGGTGGGTATGGTACATGGAAGGACACAGGCTACGGTGTGATGTGGGTGCACCTGAGACTTTGGGTGAGGTCTGTGTGCTCTGTGAGCTCTGTGATGTGTGGGTATGTGAATGTGGTGCGTGTGATATGGTTTGTGTGCGTGTAACCACGGGGCATGTAGTAGGTGGGATCTGTTGGTGTGGTGTGGTGTGGTGCAACTGAGAGTAAGGAGGGGCAGAGGGATATGTGTATCAAAATGAGATCTTGGCCACCAGAAAGTAGCTCTGGGTTGACCAGGCCTTGGCTCTGAGACCATCTCCAGCAATGGGAGAGCGGCTGATGCCAGGGAAGGCCGGGACACCTGCCACTGGCAGAGTAGCCTCGATGCCAAGATTTGGGTCCAGCCTTGAATCTACGGACCTGGACTCCATCGTTGGGAAAGCTCAGTGGGTGTCACTTGATGCCTGTGCCCAAGGACACTGAAACAAAGAAAATGAGGCAAATTGTTTGGTGACTTAGAAGCAGCTGCTATTCTGGGTCAAGGGCCTGAGGAAGACACTGGAGCTCTTGGCCTGAGGGAAGTGTGTGGCTGGCTCATGTGTAGTTTTAGTCCCTGGGGCCACATTATCACTAATAATGACCTCAGCCCAAGGGAGACGTAGTCTACTTTCCCAACCAGCAGACGGTGCTTCCCTGAGGCCCAGAGAAGGCGCCATGGCAGGCTGCCCAGGATCTCACGCAAAGGTCACAGCTTCTTCCTCAGGGGCTGTCCCAGAAGAGATGCCAGGCTCCAGTCATGTCACTTCCTTCATATATATGTGACTCCCACCACCTTGAAGATTCAAACCCCGTGGTTTGGCCTCCAGGACTTTCAGATAACTTGTCCCACTCTCTTAGCTCCCCCAAGTCCTCTCTGTGTTTTCCCAACCTGAGGCAAGGGAGCCACCCTCAACATTCAGGGCAAAAGATGCAGTTCAGAGAGCCCTTGCTTGAGAGTAGGAGGAGGGAGAGGCTTTTGGAAACTGAGCCCAGAGGATAGTGGGCAGGACACAGAGTCACACAGAACTGCTAGAGTGACACTCAATTTTGAATTCCTGCTTGTGTTTGGCTTTTGAGGAAGAAGGGACCCAGTGCCATCCTTTTGTCATTTAAAACTCCAACATGCAAGCTGACTCAAATAGCTTACTAACCAAGATGGCTCCAGATATGGAATTAAGTAGAGAATAAAGCCTTCTGAAAAATAATTGCTGGGAGCAAATAACCCAAAAAACTTACCACTGGCAAGGAATTGTGGGGGCCAGAGGGGAGGTGTCAGTCCAATGCGGGACAATCTGCAGGCCACATTTCTACATGGAACAACACTGAAACACATGGAAGAAGCCCACAGTGAAACAACTGAGTCGTGTTCATATCTGTACCCAGGAAGATGCCACCCTCCTGCAACCTTCTCTTCTTCTCTCCCGCCACTTCAAATCCATTGTTCTGTGCTTGTTTGTCTCTGCAAGCCTGAAGTCCCATCCAGAAGACAGAATGAGAAGAAAAATCCACTATGGCATTGTTCTTTCTTCTCTTTTCTCTTTCCCTGAAAGTAGACACCCACTCCCTTTCCCAAATGTAAAGAGTTAGTCCACTTCTTAGCAGGCAATTAAAGTTAGTCCATCCTTTAAATACATGTGGGAATACTCAGCCTTGGAATTTACCCAAAATCAGCTGAGACAGGCACAGAGAGTCAAAATATTCCCACCTAGCGAGACAAGCCCTCCTTCCAAAGTCGGCTCGACCATCACCTCTTTTGGGGACATTCTCTCTCCCATCTTGTCCTTACTGTACCCCAAAATATCACTTCTAGAATCCTCTCAATGAGAAGCTATTTCTTCTCTTACAGGCCCAAAGGGTATAGAAGGGAGGTAAATGTTCTCTTTGCCCCTCAATGCTCCTTTCAGGTTGTTTCTTCTTCCCCTCTCAAAGCCCTTGCTTCTTAGAGGGGCAAGTCCTCAGACTTCACCACCCACCACTCTGCCTTGTTGTCACGAACAACCCTCCCTCATTCACTGATGGCTTTAGCACTTGGCTCACTGCCTGTCTACCACCACTCCTGTCATTCTTGGCAACTTGAACATTCACACAGATGATCCATCCCCATCTCTCTGGTCTCTCCACTCCTTGGTTCTGACAGATGCAGTGATCTTTTCCTCCATCCCACCTCAACCACCAACTCCTATGGTTGTACTTTTTATCTTTACAGACAGTTATTTCAATCAATAACAGCATTACTTCTGGAATGTCAAGTAGCTTCAGTCTTTGGTCGGCCACCTCTTCCTGCAATCTAGAGCATCCAGCAACTCAGCCCTCCTTGAGATGCTCAATTGACAGTCCCTTCCCTCTCTCGCCACCTCCTCCCCTCCCTCAGGCACACACAGGCATTCTTGCCCTCCCCCTCCTCCAGCTCAGGTTCTGTGGTTGGCACTCTGTTCTCCCCCTTGAACACGTTTACCTCCTTTGCTCTGTATCACTCTGTAGGACACCAGCCTGGAAAGATCTGAACCCAAAGTGTTGCTCCCTTGCCTCCACTTCGCTCACACTCTACATCTGATTCATCAGCAAGTTCTGGCAACATTACCTCCAAATGCATCCCAAATTTGACTACTTCTTCCCTTTTTTATCATCAAAACATCAGTCTAAGCCACTGATATCTCTTTTTTTAATCAATCATTTCCACTTTTCTTTTCTTTTTTAATATTTTATTTATTTATTTGACAGAGAGAGAGAGGGAACACAAGCAGGGGGAGCAGCAGAGGGAGAAACAGACTCCCCACTGAGCAGGGAGCCCAATGCAGGGCTGGATCCCAGGACCCTGGGATCATGACCTGAGCCGAAGTCAGACGCTTAACCAACTGAGCCACCCAGGTGCCCCGCCACTGACTATAAGGTCCTCTAACTGGCTTCCTCTCTTGCCCCCACCCAATCCACTCCTCACACAGCAGCTAGCATGGTCTCTCTAACTTTTTAAAATAGAATGACTTCATTTTTTGGAGAAGTTTTAGGTTCACAGCAAAACTGAGGAGAAAGTACGAAGAGTTCCCATATACCACCTGCCCCCACCCTACACACACAGCCTCCTCAACTATCAATGCCCCCCCCACCAGAGTGGCACATTGGTTACAATGGATGAACCCATGTTGACATCTTGATCACCCAAAATCCATAGCTTATATTAGGGTTCCCTCTTGGATTTGACAAATCTACAATGACATGTACCCACCACTATAGTATCATACATAATAGTTTCATAGCCCTAAAAGGCTTCTGTGCTCTACCTATTCATCTCTTCCTTCCCCCAACCCCTGATCTTTATACTGTCTCCATTTTTTCATTTTTTCCAGAATGTGGTATAATTGGAATCATATAATATGTAGCATTTCAGACTGGCTCTTTTCTCTCAGTGATATGCACCTCAGTTTCCTCCATGTCTTGTCATGGCTTGATAGCTCATTTCTTTATAGCACTGAATAATATCTCATTGCCTGGATACACCACAGTTTATTTATCCAGTCACCTACCAAAGGACATCTTGGTTGCTTCCAAGTTTTGGCAATTATGAATAAAGCTACTATAAACATTTATGTGTGGGGTTTTTTTTTTGTATGGACATAAGTTTTCAACTCATTTGGGTAAATACCAAGGAGCACAATTGCTAGATCATATGGTAAGACTATGTTTAGTTATGTAAGAAACTGACAAACTATCTTCTGTACCATTTTGCATTCCCACCGGTGATCAATGAGAGTTCCTGTTGTACCACATCCTCTCTAGCATCTGGTGTTGTCAGTGTTTTGGACCATTCTCATAGGTGTGTAGCTGTATCTCGTTGTTTTATAGATGGGTCTTTTTAAATCTTAAATCTGATTGTGTTGTTCCCTTTTTAAAAGCTTTCCAGTGAATTCCCACCATGACACAGTAAATTCCAAACTCCTTACTATGACCCACAAGACACTGCATAGTTTGGCCTCTAGCTAGCCATGTCTGTTCTGATTGGTCAGCATCTATGCCATGCTGATTCTTTAATGTTTCAATGACCACCCAATTCTGCAACCTCATGTGCACCATTCTCCTCATAGCCATCTTGCTCCAGCCAATCTGGCCCTCTTTCATTCTTCAAATATGCCAGGCTTGTTTCTGGCTTCGGGTTCCCCAATTGCCATTTTTTTTTCTTGAGATGTTATTCTGCCAAATCTGCATGTGACTATCTCCTTCAATCAGGTCTTGGCTTAAATACTATCCTCTAAGAGGGGACTTTCCTAACTTCAGGCACTTTTGGGTAGATGGATAAATGGATGGATGGATCCTGAAAGGAGTGAAAGAAAACTTGGTTGCTGTGAGCTAGAAGGCCATTGTACCAATGGAAAGAGCCATTTCAGGAGTCCATGGAAGCAGTCAGTCTAAGCCCCTGTCAGAGAAAAAGGACTAAAACAGAAGAGGATATACAGAATAGCATAGGGAAAACGGAAGGCAGTTGACAATATCAAGTGACGTAGCTTTTGGAGGAGCGTTGAGGGTCAATCATGCTCCTAGGAATATATAAAGCATCAGGCCTGGGGCACCTGGGTGGCTCAGTTGGTTAAGCATCAGACTCTAGGTTTTGGCTCAGGTCATGATCTCAGGGTCCTGGGATCGAGCCCTGCATCTGCGCTCAGCGGGGACTCTGCTTCAGGATTCTCCCTCTCCCTCTGCTCCTCCCCTGCCGCTCACGCTGTCTCTCCAAAATAAATAAATAAATCTTTAAAATCAATCAATCAATCAATAAAGCATCATATCTTAACTGCCCACCAGCATACAGAATGAGTATCCCGTGTACACACACCTTGGTGAATTACCAGAACCTCAGACTAGAGGCAGTGTGCCTGGGGAAGGGAGAGGCCAGCTCTGGGCGTGCTGCCTTGTGGCTGTAACAACCACTCTTGTCTGTATCTTGAGCTTTTTCCAGCTAGTTCAGAAATCAAGGCAGAGAAGAAACCTCAACATCACACATTACCAGGAGGATCACAGATCAGCTGTGGTCTGGAGAGAATCTGAACCTGTTCCATTTGATTTTTCACATGTATGCAATTCCTTTTTTGACGCTCTGAAACTCAAAGCTTATTATTTTAACATTTACGACCGAAGATAACTGGCAACTTTACATAGCCTCTGTAATGATTTTTTTTTAAAACCATGTCTGATTAAGACACTGTTTAGGTCATGGTGTCTCAGACTGCAGGTCGTGAACCATTAATATGTCGTGAAATCAATTTAGATGGTTCACAACCAGCATATTTTTAACAAAACAGAACACAGTAGATGAGAAGAGAAAATCTCAAAACGTATCACACATAGTGAGGGTAAGTATTATTTCAGAAAATATATGTTTCAATTATATGTATTATATATTACGTGTGTGGGCGTGTGTGTAATGAGACACAATGAAAAATGTAGGGGAACAGCCAAAAAAGCAGAAGCTATTTCTTTAAGTTTCACTTGACTATATAAATATGTTATGAACAATGTATAAAATATATTCTAAAATAACTTCAACATTCATATAGAATTCATTCATGTCAGTGTAAAGCTGCCAAAGGTAATATGCATCAGAAATAGTTCACAACTGTTGTGGCAATCTGAACATCCCATTTTAAGGCTAGGATCCTGACATTCCACTAGACTGCAAGTCTAGTGGAGATCCAGGTTCTAATGTCTTCTCTTTTACTCTCTAGCATGATGGCTTTAGGAAAGTCTCCCTCCCTTTTTAGGCCTCAGATTCCTTGACTCTAAAATGAAAGATTTGGGTTCACGTGCTTCTGAGGAGCCCTCCACAGAAATCATGCATTCTGAGTCTACGAGAGGCTGTATGAAATGATCAAGAACTTCAAAATCAAATCCTAGCTGCCACTTACCAGTATCATTGCCAGTTTCTGCAATCAACAATCAGAAATTATGATGCATCCCCCATGGGGCGGTGATAAGGACTAGAATCATTCTTGCAAAGCTCCCGGCACGGGAGAGATCTCCACAGGAGAGGACTACTGTTAGCATGCCCGGCTCTGCCTCTCTGTCTGCATTGATGTCTGAGCACCAACCAATTCTACCTTGTACCTGTGACCTTCTGCAACTGTCTCTGAGAATCCTGTCCCCAGTGGGGATATCAAGAAGGGAAAGGGAGACCCCCAAGGAAGGAAGAAGAAAGGAAAAAGGAAGGGAAGGAGGGAGGATGCTCAGCTCCTATGCTCCAGGCAAAATTTAAAATCCCAGGAGGATGCTCAGAGGCAAAGAGGAGTGGCCAGCACACCCCTGCACCCAACCCAGCCGAGTGGTCAGCCAGCCTCCA